CTGGCCGCGAGGACCCCGCCCGCTAGCTGCGGGCGCGCGCGCGGCGGGTCTGCGCCGGAGCCGGCCCGCTCTGTTTGTCAGACACAAATGGTGGCGTCAGTCGGGGGTGTTTGCATCGCTGGAGGAGGCCAGTGGTGCAGCCGACAGAGGCGGCAGCGTCGACGGGTCATCATCCGATGCCGGCCGCGGGCGGCCGCCGCCGCTGCCGGCTGTGACAAACGGCCGTTCTCAGCGCGGCTGACGGCGTGGCCCTCGAGGCGCGCGCGTATTGTCTCGCCGCGATTGGGTCCGGTTTTTTTCGGCGGCGCCCTTGCGATGGTATCTGCCAGCCTCTCTCCTCCTGTCGAGAGTCCACACGGCGCCCTCGGGAGCGGTGCATGCGTGCGTTGTTCGGTTGGCCTCGTGCGCAGTCAAGTCCCGACTTTGGGACTGGAGCTGATTTTGGAACGCCCACGCGTAGCCCAAACCGACTGCTGGTCATGCTTTTCGTGCCCCGCCGCTGGGCAAAAACGACTGGCCGTGTCCAGGCGATACCCTCGGCTCTGGGTATATTACCACTGTCACGCTTGGCTCCGGCACGTACGATGTGTGGCGCGTGGTGCAAAACGTACCTGGCAAGTGACAGTCGCTGAACTGGCACATTCATTTGACACGCATAACAACGGCAATGTCATCAGCTGTCGTGCTGGGTGTTGATAAAGCTCGATCAGCAGTGTTCCCTTCGGGCCAGTGTAACCCAATACTTTTCCATTCCATTTGCGTTATGGAACATAACTCCGTCACAGCTGACATTCCATCGCTGTTCGATGGGACGCTCTCAATTGCGAAAGTGCCCGCGGGGTTCGGGTCGGGTGCTGGCCCAGACGGCGCTGGTCAGGTGTTGGTGCGGGACGAGCCTCCGCCGCTGGTGAGCGTTGTCATCCCTGCCGTGGGCGCCGCGGTTCGTGACGCTGCCCCGCCACGGGTGTGTGCCGCCGACACAAACCGTCAGAGGCACTCCAGCACCACCAGGCCACTGGACTGACTCATGCGCCCGCCTGTTCGCTGTCCGCGGGGTTGTACTGCCGTTGTACTGGCGTGGCACGATGTCCTGCTGCTGTCCGCGGGGCAGCAGCAGGACAGCGGCGCCATCGATCGGCGGCAGATCACCAGCGCCCGTCGGTCCCGAAGCTTGCACCGACCCTCACGGACCAGAGCGGGGCCTGCTGTCGCAATGCACCTGCCGATACCGTCCCGGAGTTGAAGCCGTGCAGCTGCTGGTGTTTGTGCGGCTCGGAATGCAGGCGGCCAGCCGGGCCTGAGGTGGCTCGGTAGCGGCCCGGTGCACGCTCGATCATGTCCAGTATCGTGGTCACGCTTCCACGGATGCCGCCGCGCCGCCCGCGCCCCGCACACGCCCAGCCATGGTTCTGGGGTCACGGCTTCGCAGGTGCAGATGTCCAGTTGCACCGCTGGGGTTGCGTCTCCGCAGATGCAGATGTCCAATTGCACCGCTGTGGTCGCGTCTCCGCAAGTGCAGGTGCCCAGTTGCACCACTGTAGTCGCGTCTCCGCAGGTGCAGATGTCCAGTTGCACCGATGTGGTCGCATCTCCGCAGACCTCGTCATGTTTTGCCGCCAGAGTGGTGGAGCCGCTGCAGCTGCGCCGTTCATCATGGCGTGTGAGGCGCCCGTCTCAGTGTTGACAGTCGTCATGTGCTCGCGGCCGTCAGTGTTGACAGCGTCAGTGGTGTTGTTGACAGCCGGCACAAGGCCTCTGAAGAGCGCACGCGGCGCGGCTTCCCCCTTCCAGTATTTCGTGACCATCGCACAGCGGCCGTCGCACAGCGGATGTCGTATAGTGACTGTCGTATAGTGACTGTCGTACAGCGGCCGGCGGTGCCGGACGCGCGGCCGTAACGCCGGTCGTAGCGCCCGCCGTCCACCGCGCGCCCCGGGCGGGCGGCGCACAGGCTTTTTGTCCACGCGCGGCACGTGGAAAAAGTGGGCAGCTCTTACCTGCGGACGTGGCGGCTCGAGGTCACGTGGTCTCGCCGTCGCGCTCCGTGAGACTGTAGCTTTTATGGCGCGTTAAGTGCGGTAAAAGGCGCGTCACATTCTCGTCTCGTTTGTTTGTCTGCTTCTGTGGCGAACGTAACGTCCGAAGGAGGCGAAGCGGGCGCTGTTCTGCGCGTGCGCAGCTAAGTTCTGTTAATCGGAGCGGTCAGTGAATAGTCAGATGAGTCCTCGGGTAGGTGTGATGGAAACGTAACTGAATCCTGTGGTAAGAGTATGGATCTAGCCAGCAGGCAGCTCGCATGGGCACATGTTCCCAGCCGCATCGTCTTGCCTCACTTCTCTTTTGGCAAACGAATCTCATCTGGTTGGCAAATCCTTCCTCCCTTTCTATGTCACCCATTCGAGTAGCCAGATCCTCGCCTCTCTCCCAAACGGAGGGACCCGACGCAATCGTTCGATCGGCCGATTGGCCTTCGATCGGCGTTCAGTGGCGTTCTCACGGCGTCGCTCTGGAACTTCCGGCCGCGCCGAGAGACGCCGGCCCGGCCGCCGCGCCGGTACCGTTGACTGCGCCGCACCCCGCCGCCGGCACCCGATGACGCCCGGGCGCGGCGAGAGGCCAACGTGGCGCGGCTGGCGGAAAACGCGGCGCATCCGTCGCCGGCGCCTGATTGCCGCATTGGAGTGTCAGCGGCGGCGCCAGATGGGCGCGGGCGCGGACCATCTGCCCCGGTGACGTGTGCAGGAGCGGCGCCCGACGCCCGACGCCCCTGTTTGCCCCTGTCTCGGCCTTCTCCCTGCCTCTGCGCCTGCCTCACCTGCGCCTGTTGCTGCCCCAGCCTGTCCCTGCCTCGACCTGTCGCTGTCTTGGCGTGTTGCTGTCCCTGCCTCTTTTTTTACCTATATCTCTGTTTCTGCCTCTGTCCCTCTCCTTCCCTCTGCTTCTGTTCCCGTCTCAAATCTGTCCTTGCCTCTGGCTCTGGCTCTGCCTCTGCCTCTGGCTGTGGCTGTGGCTCTCGCTGTGGCTCTGACCTGGCTCCGTCTCTTCTGCCTCTGCTCTGCCTCTGCCTCTGCCTCTGCCCGCCCCTGCCCCTGACCCCCCCCCCCCTCTCTCTCTCTCTTCTGCTTCCCGTGCCTTGCTTCCTCTTCCTCCTACTCCCCTCTGACTTAATCTCTCTCCCAGTCGGGAAACAGTGTTTCTAGGAGTGCCTGACGTGTCTTTCCGGGGTGCCCGGCGTGTCTTCCGATGACTCGGAGCATCGCTCAGCTGTCATCACTGTAGTGCTGAGAATCACAAACGGGGGCTGCAGGCCCTGACGGGACTTTCTCCCATTATGTCCATTTCAGTAGCTGCAACTCATGGCAGGGAAGCTCTGGCACAACACTCCATTGTATGCAAATAATGCACAGCCACATGCAATATTTGCTTGAGCTCAGCGTCGGACGTTCCTCGAAGCCAGAACATGTTGAGGTGTTCTACCCATGCCCTTTGCCTATCGCGCTGTACAGTTTAAGACTGGCTGTAAGTGTGCGAGCGTGATGCGGCTTTAATAAATGGCATAGTGCTGGTGGCTGTGGAGAGCTGAAGCGATGTTTCTTCATGTGGCACGTCTGGTGTCCTACAATGATTTGTCCTCGCCCCAAATACCCACGCACCGTCTGGAGGCAATAACTCCCGTGCTGGGGCCATCCCTACCAAAATAGCTAGCTAAGGTAGGGCTAGAACATTTGGACCTGTTTGAACATTTGGAACGTCCCTCCACGAGACTGTTGTGTTCCGGATCGGCAGAAGTGATGCCTCGGATATGGCTGCCGGCATATTCGAATGCTGATATGCCGGTAGCCATATCCGAATGCGGATATGCCGGTAGTCATATCCGAATGTGGATATTCAGGTAGCCATATCCGAATGCGGATATGCCGGTAGTCGTATCCGAATGCGGATATGCCGGTAGTCATCCGAATGTGGATATTCAGGTAGCCATATCCGAATGAGGATATGGCGGCAGTCATATGCGAATGCTTATATGCCGGTAGTCACCCGGATGCGGATATGCCGGTAGCCATACCCGAATGCGGATATGCCGGTAGTCATATTCGAATGCGGATATGCCGATAGTCATATCCGAGTGCGGAATATGTAGGTATTCGCGGACAGTAACTCAAAAGGGACTGACATAGTTACCACTCAAGCGTAGTTCGCCACATTCCTTCCTGCCTCGGTCAATGCTCGAAGTTCGTGTCGGTTAGAACATTTGTGTTTCGGGCTGTTTTTTGTGTTTGAGCATGCAAATATGCAACGGGGAAAGAGTGACTTCGGTACCTGAGCATGACATAGCTGACGCTAAACGCTGCACCACTTGCGTCCTTAAACGGCTGATTTCATTTGTTTTACAACCATGCAAATGTCTTCTCAATGTCATGTTTATATCATGATCATCACCCTGTGGGCTCGTGCGACTTGGCGCCTATTAAATAGCTTGCACTCCCGTGTTGGTTATTCACTCGGCATTCCCTTGCGAATCAAGCCCTGTAATCTGGATTCACTCTACCCTAAATAAGGCGCTTTGTGAACGTGGTATGCAAGACAAGACCGCTCCCCGCCTCCGGAGACCGGACTGTCCGAACGGCTTCGGCGCCCCGAACATGCCAGTCACGCGAATCTCCATACTGGCCGATCGGGTGCGCTGGCGGCTCTCACACGAGCCGGGCGGGCTGACCGCGCCGTGTAGGCCGAGCCGAGGGTGCCAGGTGGCCTTGCACCATCGCGCGCGCCGCCGCCGAGCGTTGTCACACGGTGCAGTCGTCTGACCGCGCCGCGTCGCTCCGCGCCGCAGACCGCGGGCCGCGCCCACGGCCTCACCCAAAGCGGCCCCACTGCGCGCCGCCGCGCCAGGCGACCGCTGATGCCCCGCGTCACCCCATGACCGGGCGTGTCACGATCCCGATGACGTACTCGCGTGCTGGTTGTGGCGTACTCTCACGGTGCACTTTCTGTTTCAGGTGAGTGGCCGCCCCCGGCGCCCCGGGCCTCGCCCCTGCCCCCCCCCCCCCCTGCCCCCGGCTCCTGCAGCGGTGAGTACTGAGCCGGACGTGGCTGCTGATGGCTGTCAGCCAGTCCCGCCGGAGCACTACCGGTGCAGCGCGTCCCATGAAGGTAACTGCGCGCTGCTGTGCCGGCGGCAGCGGCGGCGGCAGCGGCAGCGGCAGGGACTGCATGCGCCACCGCCACCGGAGGCCGCGCGGCCGCCGGCCGTCACGCTGTGCACGTGCAGTGTGCATAGTGCACCCCCAATGTAGCGATACGGCCGTGGAGGCGGAAGAGTGTGCGCACGATAGGCGGGCGTAAACAGTGAACACGGCCGCGTTGGTGTTTGATGGTGATGACCTTCAGGCGGGTTCTGGCTGGCTAGG